TGTCAGAGGCAAGACCACACAGCTTCTTAATTAACCACTGCTTGCCCATGTGCTAATTACTCATCATGAGGATTATTCACATTCAGTATTTTTACTGCCTTGGTAAGTCTCTGACTCAACTCTTTTCATAAGGAGACAGAAATATACAGGAAGGACCTGATTTTGTTAGCAGCTAAAGTTAGGCTATGCCCTCAGATCTAATGAACAATTAATGAATTTTCACCCTCCCCAGATCCTGGGCTGGGTACTTCCATATACATTGCCTCAAAAACAATCCAACAGAAGCCCAGTGAAAAAGACAAGAATAACCCAAACAAACAAAAACAGAACCCTAAACGTTTCCAAAGTTAAATACATGTTTTGACATCCCAACTTCTGGATTGGACTTTTAAGCAGAAACCATGTGCTTCTCAGCATCATTAATAGGGAAGCATCTGTTTACAGGGGGGTTAATCAGATAAATGAAAGTTGAGGTATCTAGATTCAATACTGAACTAAGTTATCAGGCTTGGTTGTTAAGAGAGGGTGTCTACATTTTGCATTTCCCTGGTTCCCCTCCTTCATCTGAGTATTTGTAGTAACTTTGGTTTTTTTCATAAAAAGAAATATCGAAGTCCTATATTTTATGATTTCACTTAACAGTTTTTAATTTCTAAATATTGAAAAACTAAGCAAATTCCTCAGGTGTCACCTATGTTTTAATCAAATGTCTAATATTGAAATGGTAAAGAGGGAATATCTTACATGTATAAGCAACCTGAATAAGCTTCAGTGCCTCATGAAAAACTTTAACTATTTAGAAACACAGGTTGTAGAACTGCAATATAGACAATGAAATGCCCTCTCTACAATAAACACATTTAAAATGTATCCGGAGGTGGTATACAGAGCTTGACAAATCAGGATGAAAAGTCACCTTCCAAATGTCTTTACAGATGCCATTTAATCAACAACCACAACAATCTTTGAGCAGTGGGAAGGAGGTTGGAAGCCAATAGGTTTTTATTTAGGATTAACTGTCTTGGATTCTATGACTAAGATAGGAAGGGGAAATGTATTCTCTAATGAAAAGCAATTATGACAATTCAGGAGTTTTTTAGCAGCTTTACTGAGATATAATTCACATATCATAGAATTCTCCTGTTTAAAGTGTACAATTCAATAGTTTTTAATATACTCAGATATATGCAATGATCATCACAGTTAATTTTAGAACATTTTATCACCTAAAAAAAGATCTCATATGTTTTGGCTACCAACCCACTGCAAACTCCTTATTTTCCCATCCCAGTCCTAAGCAATCACAAATCTACTTTCTGTCTCTGGATTTCTCTGTTCTGTACTTTCTTATAAATAGAACTATATATATATATATATATATATATATAGTCTTTTCTGACTGGCTTCTTCCATCTAGCACAATGTTTTCAACGTTCATTCACGTTGTAGCATGCATCAATACCTCATTCTTTTTATGGCTGAACAATCCATTGTATGACTATACCACTTTCTGTGTATCTATTTGTCCATTGATGGACATTTGGGTGTTTCTACTTATTGGCATTTAGGAATAATGCTGCTATAAATATTGATGTGCAAGTTTCTGTGTGGACATACATTTTTCATTTCTCTTGGGTATATACCTAAAAGTGCAAATGTTGGGTCATATGGTAGCTGTATGTTTAATCATCTGAGGAACTGTCAGACTGTTTTCTAAAACAGCTACATTTTAAATTCCCATTACCAATATGGGGGGGGCGGGGTTCAATTTCTCCACGTCCTTGCCAATACTTGTTATTACGGAACTGTTTGATTCTAGCAATTCTAGTGTGTATGAAAGAAATGGTATCTCACTGTGCTTTTGATTTGTATTTCCCTGATGGCTAATAATGCTGAGCATCTTTTCATGTGCTTATTGGCCATTTGTATATTTTCCTTACAGAAATGTTTATTCAGATTCTTTGCCCATTTTTAAATTGATTCTAATTGGGTCAAAATTTTGATTTGTCTTTATTTTTGAGTTGTTAGTTCTTTACATATTATGGGTAGAAGTCCAAAATCAGACATATGATCTGGACATACTTTCCTCCCATTCAATGGGTTGTCTTTTCACTTTCTTGATGGTATTAATTCAGATATTTTTGAAGAACTCAACTATATTCATCCTACTTGTCAACTTTTAAACACTTTTGTTTTTCATATACTGAAGAATATACTATCAATAAGGCACGGACTTGTAATTGTGGGTTTTTCACTACCATAGTAGAAGTAATAGATCAGCTATTGTACAATAAAGCAGGAAGAAGCTCATAGTGAAAACACACGAGTTTTCTTCCTACTTATGTTACTCACAGTATGACACTTGGCAAGTCATTCATTCTCTCTGGGTCTTAATGACCTAATCTACAAAATGTGAGGCTGAACTAACTGAGTGGTTTTAAAATATTCTTGGGGAGGGGGAAGGGTAAGCTGGGACAAAGTGAAAGAATGGCATGGACATATATACACTACCAAATGTAAAATCAATAGCTAGTGGGAAGCAGCCGCATAGCACAGGGAGATCAGCTCAGTGCTTTGTGCCCACCTAGAGGGGTGGGATAGGGAGGGTGGGAGGGAGGGAGACGCAAGAGGGAGGAGATATGGGGATATATGTATATGTATAGCTGATTCACTTTGTTATACAGCAGAAACTAACACACCATTGTAAAGCAATGATACTCCAATAAAGATGTTAAAAAATAAATAAATAAAAATAAAGTAAAATATTCTTAATTGGTGAAAAACTTATTTTTAATGAAATACTAAGTGGAACCCCAATACATAAATAAAATGTTTCTCAGTCATATAAATTTATTGTTTACAACTCAAATTTGTAACATTTCTTTAAAATTCAATCAGTAAGTATAGAGGGGCTATATTAATACAAACATTTGAAACATGAGATTATGGGTGACGTTTGCAATTTTCTATCAGGGTCAGCATTCGGTTTGGTTGTGTATTCTCTAACAACTTTAGGAAATTCCGATATCAGATGAATTACAAAAGATTTCTTGCAAATTGAATGAGTACTTTAAGAGCTTGCCTTACAATCTCATTAAAACTCTTCAATTAAAGCAAAGAGGGCAGGAGAAGATTTATTCTTCAGGGTATTGTTTCTGTTGTAAGTGCTTTATGCTAAAATATATCTCTTTAAAAGTAAATTTGAATCAGCATTTGCAAAATCCCTGAAGCACATTCTGCAGGATAAAGTATACAAACCAATCAGCTACTAGAGTATTCCTTCCAGGTTCATAAATTTGAAGGTTAACACATAGATCCCACTAGGATCACCTGTGATACTCCTGTGCTGATAGGACCTCCTGTGGCCACTGATTTGGTGAAGTAAACTGGATCTCATTAATTTTTCTTGAGAAAAGGACAGATGGAAGAGGAGGAATGGGAGAAAATAATCCTTGATAGAAATAATCCTTCAACAAAAGTACCACTTTCAGCAGATATTAAGAATCTTCCTGAACTCAGGAGCCTCAGAAACCTGATAATGGAGGGGAAACAGGAAATTTGAAAAGACATATCCTTAGGCTTCCCCAAAAATCCTTGACCCTGAGGGTAGCAGAAGACCTCTCGCAGCTGAGTATGTATCTCTCATGAATAGTCATGATGAAGACCCCTCTGCTAAGGCACTGGGATGGGATCTCAGCCCACCGGCCTCTTCAAACATTTTGAAGTCACTTACTAACCATTTTAGTATATGTATAGGGCAACCATACAAGTTGTCACCCAAACTAGAACACCGTGAGAGTGAGAGGTAGCACTGTCAATAATTAGCCTGGGACAACAGTAGTAAACTACACTGTTACCAGGCAAACTGGGATGAATGGTCACCCCGGTTAGGAACCTCCCCCTCCCCCAAGAGGAGATCCTGCTAAAGGACAGGCAGTTTGCAGACATGTACCACTACTCTTGTAAAATATCAACATGTCTTCCATGAATCTTTACTATTTTAAGTTTAACTTAACTTTTCAACTTTTTAAACTAAGCTTTTGAAGTTATTCTAAAATGTAAAGAGGTCAGTCAGCTTAAGAAACATCGGATATGTTAAGGGAAAAAAAATTCACTTCTGAATTCAGGGGGCTGACAATATGCAAAAGAGAATATAAAATAAATATAAAAGTTCTAATTGCTTTAATAGATATGAATTTGATTTATATCATTTATTTTAACTACATCAACATAAAATAACTAGGCTTTACATTCTTGGAAATACATGTTGGTTATAGATGAATATTTTGGGGTCCTTATCTATTTGGTTCCATTTATTGGATTTTTCTTTAAATATGTTTTCTGTTTATATCACTCTATATTACTTGATAGAAAAGATCACATCTTTTATCCTTCCTTCTTCCTTTTAGCTCTATTCATAGCACCATGTAGCTTATTCTTCACATGATATATTCTCTACACTGTATTAGCTAACAATTTTAAAAGAAACTTATTATCAAATCCACAAATACTTTCCTGATTGCAAAGTTGCAAAGCTTTTTTTTTTTTTGTCACTCTGATTACCAGCATATTTTCATCCAATGCTTTGCCACTCCTCTTTGATACCACTGAGCATCTGGGGGCTGAAATCTCTTCCAAAACTAATAGTCAAAATGTTTTTTTTCCCTGTATCTACAGGTTATTCACTAATCTACATTTATGATATGAGGCTCATAACTATGTATTATTAGTAAAATGGAACATCCAAGATAAAAGAAAAATATTATCCCTTTTTATAATTCAAAATATTCGTGGAAGAAGGTTGGTTATTAATGATATTTGATCTAAACTGAACTTCTAGGAGTTACTTAGATATGTGACTACAAATAAATTAGTAGTTTACTATTTATTTTAACATTCATCCATTTGAAAGTAGGTGCTGATAGTGACACGGGCTGGGGGAAAGGATAAACAGTTTTGGCCTACCTTTCTGTTTTTCCATGATTTTAAAATACACTCACCTCCTCCAAATGGTCCCCATATGACTCGGCGGATGGACTTGACCCAGTCTTCCATATCATTCTGGGTGCTCGCCATAAGGAGGTAGCTCTCATGATTTGCTGTCATCCGATCTCGATCACCTCCTGTAAGAAGACAGGAACATTAACACATGAGTATGTGCTCAGCCGAAGATTCCCCATCAGCAGCCTCCTAGTGAATCCCTGAAACATAAACTGTACCTAATGCAGCTAGCACTAGGTTCTACCCAATGAATCAGAAATATTTACCATGGTTTCATCATGGGAAAAAAAAAAAAATCTGCTTAGAAGGGAAAGGCTCTTATGTTTCCAAGAGAAAGCCAGCAAACAAATGTCATTCCCCAAACAAAGCCTAGCTTTTTGTCCTAGCAACAACCCATAGGCCTGTATTAACTCATAATCCAATCCTCCTCTGTGCTCTGTCCTGGAAGGGGAGCCTCTTACCTCAAATCATACCTTCAGGGGGACACACAGAAGAAGACACAACCCTGGCCAGTCTCAACGGCCAAATTAACACCCCAGATGGCCCTGCCACCTAAGGGTTAGCTTTAGGAAACCCCAGCAGTACCTCCTTGCTTGCTGGTTTCTCTTACCAGCCCCGCTCCCCACCCCCTCACTGGTCGAAAACAACTCATACACTTTAAAACCTTTATAATCTCTAAAATCAACTTTGAAATGCTGGAGTTCTATAAAGCATTTTTATGCTTAAAGGAGCATTTCTGAAAACAAGTATCAGTGACTGCACTGCTTCATTCTCTTTGAAAAAACTAGTGTGGTTCACAGAAGGAATAATTAAGAAAATGGACCATTAAGTATTATTTAACTGAATTCTGATAATATTTCAGCATTATACTGACTGCTAAGGTGCTCAAATAATCTATGAACGATTTAATTTTCACTAAGTGCTGTAAACTTGCAGCCTTGGGTTGGACTAATTCATACCGAAGTGTTTTGTTTGTTTAAGACATTGTCGTTGTTTGTTTTTAAGTGGATCAGAACAGATGCCAACTGTTCTAATTCACAGCCCTTCAGTTCTGAGAGCCAGGTACCGCATGTTGCAACTGAAGGGGCTCAAAAACAATCTCCTTTGTGAGGAGCGTGCAGCCTCCAACAGGCCCCGCACTTCCTATTCTTTCACATCCTATCTCATTCACAAAGCTCTGAAAACTCTAGGCATTTGAGTTTGTGATCTCTGAATTTTATACAAATGTCCTAGGTTGAGAAATACAACTCTTCTAGCATTGATGCAAATTAACAGAACAGGTGCAAGGTCAGAGAAGTGAAATAACTTTAAGCCAACCAGCTGAATAGCCAGCATTGGTGTTTTACATTTCAATACAACTGAATTTGGGGGTGGCATGGGTGAGGGATGCCATCAAATCAGTTCCCTAATGTTTACAGATCTCTTGAATAAACAAGATGAGCCTTCTCACTTTAAAGAGAACATATCACTATTTGGGAAACAATGACTTTCTTACACCTCTAGGTCTAGCCTAGGTCAATCATCACTTTAAGCAATTTATGTCTGAAAAAGCATAGGCTCAGGAAATCAGAGAAAACCCTTCTGAAATTGCAATTCTATATTATATTAGCTGTTTAACTTCTGGGAAAGCACATAACTTCTGGAAACTCAGTATCTTTAGTCATGCTTTAGAAATAATAATCCCTATCTAATAAATTTTTGTGAGAATTAGATGAAATGAAGTTAATATACTAGCACTATGTTAGGCTAAAAGAGAAATTCTGTAAATATTAATTCAGTCTCATTTAACTGCCTCCCATATCTACAAATGCAAAAAGGACATATTATATTTAATTTGACCTCAGAGACATACAATTAGTGTAGTATGCTAGCGAGTGCTTGGGAACAATTAGTCAATAATACACATATACAGGAGTTTTTATAGAAGGCTGTCTTTCTTTGATATATAACAATGCACATTAAAGTTGTATACTGTGCATGTAGGAAAATTTGCCACACATTAACATGCATATGCATGGCTGTATGACATATAAGTCGCAGAAATAAATAAATGACAAAAGAAAAAGATGCTTTGCTTGGCGTGGCACAGTACTAAAATTTATTCTGTTTTCTGATCCACCTGTAAAAAATTACCATTTTGAGATCAGAATATTTTAATTATTGTCTTTGCCTGGAGGATGCTTAGCAATTCAGACAGTTATACCCTGCTGTGTCACTCCCAGCCCCAGCAGAAACTGTCCTAGTAATGAGAGTGAGTGACAGCCACTGGAGTGTGTTTCTGCCTGAAAGCAGGGAAAAAAGAGAATTATAAGCACAACTGGCCATTATCCCCTGACTTTTCATTTGATTCCCTATCTCTGCCAATGATGCTGTGTGTCTGACCCCTGAATCTCACTTCGACTGCCAATCACAGATATGAAATTCTCATCTGTGAATTTCATCCATGGATATAGATCTTGATTCCTCACTGAATTAGCAAAAGACAGGGAGAAGATTTAGAGAAACTTTTTTCTATGAGTCTCAGTGGAAATAATAGACTCATTGCTAAGAATGTGATTAAAACAATTGGAGACATTTATATAGATATGAACTAAATTCTCCGTACTAAGGTTACATGATTTCTAACTGGAGAAGCCATTTGTTCTAATTCATAATCCTTCAGTTCTGAGAGTCTGGTATTGAGCCTTGCAATTGAAGGGGCTCCAAAACAATTTATTAAATGTATAATTTGATAAATGAATAAACTCAATATTGACTTTCAGCCACATGGATCAAGTTTCACTCTGTTTGTTAATCCTTTACGGGGCTTAATGTTCGATTTACCTATTTGTGAATCTAAAATTCTTTCCAAAGGTGAAATTTTAAAAAGCAACCTTAAGATGTAATTATCACTGGAGTGAAAGTATCATAGTCATCTTCAATCCATATATATGTGTATATAAGTATGTATATATTATTACCAGTATACATTTTCCACTCTTAATTTCCGCTTGAACATAAATATCTATGCAGTGTTATTTTTATTTTTTAATACTACTCTAGATGATGGTGGATTTGCACACATTTTAAAAGACACAATGTATCAGTAAATTGTATACACCTTCTAGATGTTAGCTCGGGTTGGTAGCAATGCTTTGGTGCTAGGGTTAACACTTCAAGCGTCTGTGATTTTAAGTTAACCAAGTAGGTCACATCATTCAATCTTATTTCTTTATATGTAATTGAAAGTATGTGTACATTTCATTGGAATCTTCTATATATTTGCATTTGATATGAATTTTTGCCTTCCCAGAAATAAATTCTCTGAAATAAAATACCTGGCATGATTAACTTTTGCAAAAATTAAAAAGTAGATTAAGAAAAGCCTAGTGAATTTAATAGATTAAGAAAAAGCTTAATGTAAAATTTAAGAATAGGTTAAAGAAATCTACATTAAAGTAGATGCACAGTTAATTCAAAAAAGAAATACAAATATTTAGCATATGAAAATTTCAACTCCTCTTATAATTACAAAATAATAATTAAAAGATAATCATATTTTTGATGAAAAGCTTTGCAAAGATTTTTAAATATTTAGGAAAAATATTGGCAATGGTATGCTAAGATATACATGCTCATTGCTTATAGGAGTATGGATAATATTCCTTATGATGCAATCACTACAATAGGATTTTGAAGAATATTTATTAATACGAGCTTTTATTATACACAAGGAAATATACAAATTTTATATATATGGTATCTCTATTTTCATACAGGTAAAAAGTCAGATAAATAAGATACTAGGTTGAAAAACACAATAATTTTAACAATGATTACTGTGAATGCTAGGATTGGAAATTATTTTGCTCTCCTTTGGTACTTTTCTGTATTTTCCAGATGTTCAACCAAGTGTTGTTTTATAATGCATGCATTATTCCAGATGTTCTAACATGTGTTAGTTTATCAGCAAAAAAAAAATTATTGAAAAGAACAAATGATAAGAACTGTATGGTCATGAAAGCACTAATCAATAAAAAGCCAAGGTGCGCTGGAAGACAATTATTGCTAACTCCACTCAGTGTTGCTTAAAATTGTTTGGTTTTGAATTCTCACTAATTTACCTACAACCTCTTCTCCCTCTTTCCCCAAATACATCTCTGAGTACATTCCCAAGGGAAGATTTGGGACAGGAGACCAGCGTTGCTCAAAGTACAGACTACGTCACATAACTAGGACTTTCTCAGTGAAATAGACTGCTATTTTTCTTAACGAATATATTTTTAAAAATATTTTACTGAATTTCTTGTGTGGAAATTTCTAAAAATAGTTACCTAAGTAGATTTTTTTCTTTGGAAAAAAATAATTGTAAATTGTCAAAATTATGAACTAAAAAGCAAAACAATTAATCAGAAGTGAAGTATTATATGTGTATCATATAAAGATGTGTATCATATTTTAAAGCTATACAGTGAATTACTTGTTTGTGCTTAAACTTTAAAACAAGTTGCTCAAGGAAAACTGTGGTCACCAAAATTTAGGTTCAGTTTGCAAGCAAAATTCATGGTACAGACCTGAGGATATTTCAGTGAACACCTCTGATACTGTTAATAATTTCAAGGGCAAAACATTTCCTTATTTCCAATTACAAATCAGGTCAAAACTAACCCTAGTGTACTACCCATTTAATTAGAGCTTACAGAAAAATATTTAAATGTTCTAAGTAGGGTTATCAATTTTTACTCATACCATTGCAAGGTCTTAATTTTTTAAGCATTATTTCCTTCAAAACAGTTTGAGTCTTCAATAATAGTAGAGCTCTAATGATAAATTGCAAGATATAAAGTAAATTCTGAAGCATATCTGTGGAAAATTACTGAGATAGAAAAACATTTTTTCCCTTTTATGGAGAACGATACTTGGAAAACAACCAGTGTTATGTGAAGTACAAGCAAAAAAAATTGTAAGTTTCTAATGGATGCTATCACCTCTTAGTAAACAACAACAATAATAAAACAGCATATAATTTACAAAATAAAGCCAGAGAACAAATTGGCCTCACATTCAACATCATATTTTTTTCATACTGTCTCATGCATTATAGAGATATTGTTCTCTGAAAATTAAGGGTTTGGGGATGCTC